CGACGAGGGCGTCGGGTGAGTTGACGAACGAGGCGTTGTTGTCGTCGTCGAAGAGAAGCGCGTGGCGGCCCACCACCTCCATGTCCATCTCGCTACGACCGTCCAATTTGAACGGAATTGTCACTAAAACAGAGAGAGAGCGGAGATGCGGATTAAGGATTTAGCAAACTGCGAGAAACCCTAATTGTGATTTTTTTCAAGGGCTGCGATTCGACAAAGGGAAAGCATAGAATGTCAGCAAGCCGACCGGACTAGAATTGGGTTGCGGTTCAGTTTTATCGGGTATGACCCCAACCAACCCGACCGGACTCGAATTGGGTTCAAGATTGTTAATTCTTTTTTTGGGTGAGTTTTAAAGAAAATGGCTTCACAGTTCACACAATGCATCAAAAATCACTTAATGAAACTTTATGAATAAGGACAAAAATAAGGGAGTAGTATTATAATTAAGTTAAAATTTGATGGTAATGACAATTGTTTCTTTATAAAATTTAGCTATGAAAAAATAGTTGCTTGTTTTATGAAGAAATAGTTGTCGTTGCTACCAAACTTAATTACGATAGTGTCACTACCTCTTATCTTTACGATTAAATAATTTTGTTAGTTGTTTTGGTTAAAAAAATTATGAAGCTTTTTCATTAGATATCTAGCTAAAGAAAACAAGACTACCATATATGTCCTCGATCTCATGCTTTTACAAGTTTGATCAAACTTCCACCTAATAAAATGGCTTCAACCCTTGTTTTCTTTTAACTAGATTTGGAAAATGATTTCAACAAACATGTTTTGCTCTCCATGTGACTCCATAAATTTAATTGTCGATTGTAGATATATGTGGTTAGTGCTCATACACGACTTCCTCGTCTCTATCAGATTGGAGCAAATTGATGATATTTCCCGACTTAGCTGCCAAATAGAGCAGACAAAGCAATTAAGATAATCAATGGAGAAAATGAATCTTGTATATGATTTTATGTCCAAGAAACAAAAGACCTAGAGGGCAAACAAATGTTTAGCCCACTAGAGTTTCGTGTGCAGTCTGCTCATGACATTAAAAGGTAAATCTGTCATATTGAGTTAATAATTCATTGTCTTTCTCATATTCGATGTGGTTAATTTATATCTCCACATGATCCACCCAACCAATTCCAAAGCAAGTGGATTGGGCGGGTTCCACAGGATGGGATTAACAATCCAAAATTTATGTTATATTAGGCTCAAGTGATGTGAACGTAGTATTGTAGAGTCACTACTTGTTTCTTAAATTTTATTATACTCAAGTACAAATAAACAAGTGTGTTTAATAATTATTAAATTTTATGTATAATTCTATGTAACATATATGCATGTTTAAGAATGATTGACATTCGGGTTGGTCGGTTTTAATCAGACTAATAATACTTCAATCCAATCCAATCGAATACAACTCACCTAGTAAGCGATTGGTCGGGTTTTTACCCGCAACTACATCTTCGAAGTTTACAACTCAACCCAAACCAACCAAATGTTTTCATGGTCTTTTTTATTGTGATGCATCATCACATGGGTACAAAGAAAACGAATGTGTGATTCATGTTGAATAATGTAATATATGTTGACACAAAAAAAAAAAAAAAAAAAAAAAGTAATATTTGTGTGTGCGTGATTCGTATGGTTTTGGGATTTAGCTTCTATACCGGGCAGCTTAATTCGTTGAGAAATTGAAGAAACATGTTTTCCGTACTTTAAAAGCCCGGGCCATGTACATAGCCAAATATGCAGCACAAGTATATGGGATTAATCAAGATTATATTTTGTGACTTCGAAGGTGATTAATCAAGATTTTAGGCCTCTAGAAGGAGATGGATCTTGACCTTCAAATCGTTGGAACCAATAAAAGTGGTACAATGTGCAAAACGATTTGAATATTCCTTGTATGGAGAACTGAGTCATGTAAATTATTGCGTTTCAAATATGGCATTTCACACACACACGCAGATAGATGAATATTTTATGCTATGTTGCTGTACAATACAAGTACATGTTGGTCAAAAGCTAATGCAAATAACCATAACCATCAGAAAGTCTAGTCGCAAGTGAAATTTGCGGGTTAATTAACATGGTTTGAAATTTGCAAGATTATAAATGCTCACAAATTATTATAATTTATTCTCTTTTCTTATGACTAGTACGAGTATGGTATTGTCGTAATATTAATTTTATATCAACTTGCGTGACACAAACATGACACTATTAATAGATAACACGAACACAAATGCGACTCAATTCTGCCCAAAGTTAATATATATACACTCATGCGTATAGGGACGGATTCACATAGGGACCCGGGTGGTCCCAAGACCCTTCAAATGCCGGGAGAAGTACTTGTGATTGACCATTAGGGACTCTCCGATGGGTTGGGTGGTGGTGATAGAGGTCCTTATCTCCATGGTCTCCATGGATATCCAGGTAGTAGGTTATAAACGAAGAAGAAGAGGTTTTAATTCTAGGGTGCGTTTATTGCATTGACTATCTCGGATGGTACGATTTTCAAGGACAATATAAGTTGGATTGGCTTAGAATACTAAGCTGGACTAACTTAGTTAAACGTTTAGTACTGTATTGGACTAATAATTAAGATAATGAAAATCAATGAAAATTGGACTGTATTTGAACAATCACAACAACGGAATTACATTCAACAACATCATAAACTAACCAACCCACAATCAGATCCTAAATTGCAAAATAGCCATAAGGGGAAATTGCAAATTAACTACATAATCCATTCCATATTCCAAATTTTAATCCAAAATTCCACATTTTAATTCAAACATTAATGAAATTTAATCCAAATTAGCAAAATTTAATCAAACCCTATTAATACAAACCTGATTAACAAGCTGGTAGAGCTAGAAGAGGGATTGGTGAAGGACATAGCGTGGAGTTGGACTTGTGGAGTAAGGCATTGCTACCCTTTTTGGAGTTGGAAATTCCTCTATCAAACTTTTGAAATCCAATCGTAAACTCGGTTGAAGAAGCTTGAGCAATCAACAATAGACATCCTTCTCTGAGCAATCTAGTTTTTGCAAATTCGAAAGCTTTGGAGAAGGAGGAGGACAAGGTAGTTGCTAAATCGGTTGATTACGAGCTGATGAAGAAGAAAAGCTTGGTGCTTCAATGGCGGCGAGTTGGGAGGCTCGACGAAGCGAAAACGAAGGCGAAGTGAAGACAAAGCAGACAAAGTGAAGCAGGTTTTGGCGAAGCGGTGGTCTTAGCAATCCTTTGCTTTATGAGCGGTCTAGTTAAGACCATCTAAAGAAGGAATTAGTCGAGACGAGTCCCTCACAATCTTATTAAAGATACTCCCTACAGGTAGCAAATATAGGACTATACTAACCCTTAGTCCAATTCTGTCTAAAGAAGCCTAGTGAAGGAAAACAAACACACCCCTATTTCTTTTTAAATGACATGACCAAAAGGATGTCATTTTGAGTCAAGTCAATTAAAAAAGATTTTAAAAAACTTCTCTTTATCTTATACACTACAAGCCCGAGAACCTCTTTTGCTTTTCCTAATGTTTAACTCCCAATTTAATTTAATTTACAAACCCAGAGGAGCACTGTTGATTTTGGCACATGTGAGCTTATTCTTGATTTATTCATATGAACTAAATTTGATAGAAAATAGAGATGTGAAGCTTTGGTGGATAAGGCTAAAACTCGTCTTTTAGGTTGGAAGGGTAAACTTCTCTCAATGGCTAATGATTCCAATTGGTGCAATCTGTTTATCAAAATTTGTTTCTCCATAGCTTCTCAATTTATAAATGGCCTATTTGCCTTTTAAAGCATCTTTCTACTTGCACAAAATTTTATATGGCCAAGGGACTTGGCTTCACAAAAACTAGTAACTGTTGATTGGAGTATGGTGTGTGGACTAGGGGTGGGTTCAAAAAACCGAAAACCGAAAAAAACCGAGAACCGAACCGGACCGAGACCGAAAAAAACCGAACCGAAAAAAAAATCGAACCGAAATTGTCAAACCGAACCGAACCGAATCTGACCGGTTCGGTTTCGGTTTTTGAGGCTCGGAAACCAAACCGAACCGAACCGAACCGATATATATATTATTTTTTTGAATATTTATAAATAGTTTAGTCATACAATCATAACAAAACAGAACCTGTTGCCAAGTTGGTTTCAGTGAAACTTTACAAGCATGGAGGCATGGGTTCGAACCCTCATGCCTCCAGGATTTGTGAGATTATTTTTAATTTTTTAAGTTGTTGTAACCCTAACCCTCCTCCTCCTTATTTTTCATTCCCCTGCCCTGGCCTCTTCTCTCTAGACTCTCGTTCCCTCCCTCTCTCTCTGAGACATGGTGGTGGCCTCGTCCTCATCGTTGTCCGATTCGGCCTCGGCCATCAGTCGTTCTGTTCTTCTCTCTGATCTGATTCTGTTTCTCTCTGTGTTACTTGATCTATGATTCTCTGTTACTGTCTATGATTCTGTTCATCTCAATCTTTCTCTCCCAAAGATTGACGATCGATCGGTTCCTTTTATTTTTTGATTTTTTTTGTGAATCTTTGATGTGATTTGGGTGTTTGATGTGTGGATCTGATGCGATATGTGTTTGATTTTTTGTGAACCTTCGACAGCGAGCAGGCGATGAGGGATGCGATCGAAGGCATGAACGGCCAGAACCTCGACGGCCGCAACATCACCGTCAACGAGGCTCAGTCTCGCGGATCCGGTGGTGGCGGTGGCGGAGGTGGCTACAGCCGCGGAGGAGTGCAAAGTCAGTCAATTACTGTTGATCGGCAAATGAAAAGATATGAGGTTCCGAGAATTGCATTTATAAACAAACTTGACCGAATGGGAGCAGATCCCTGGAAAGTTCTGAACCAGGTACATTTTGAAATCAACTAATCATGGAAATATCACAAAATTTGTGGTTTATTAATCGTTTTTCAGCAAGCGAACATAGAGCATTCAGTACTGTTTCCTTTGTCATTTTTACTGTTGTTTGATTTTTGTTTTCAGCTGATTAGGTACGAGTAGGACCACTCTACATCAAGGTGTCTTGTGTGTGAGTGGAAAGGGAAAATGTTGAAGCAAGTCTTTGGGAAGGTGTGGAATAAAGGGGTTTTTGTGTATGGAGGAAACAGAGCCATGCCTTGCTTGTATGTGCCCACGAGTGATATTCACAATGGACAGGTACATTCGAAATCCCAATTTCCGAGCACCCATTTGCGTTATATTCTTGAATTTGACATCACAAAGCCTTGCGTTAGTTTCAAACCAATGATTTTCTCTGAGAAAGACCTAAGAAAGTTAATAAAGATCTATGCTTGAACAAGGTTTGAACTTTTTTTTGTGCTTGGATGATGCCATGAAGATCTGCTAGCCATCTAATTTCTTTCCAGTAGAATTTTTCTGGTGATATCAACTGCCATCTGATTGTGCAATTTACAGGTTCATTGTGCACCGAGAAGTTTTTTCGGGGTAGAGGATTTCCTCGATGATGACAATAGCCGGCCATACACTTACCAGAAGGAGAAGAAGTCCAAAAATCCCACGAAACATATATCATTTAAACAGCGCACCATAGCCTACATGGAACCATTTACACTCGATGTGTTCATCTCAAAGCGGTTTGTGTCAGCCTCAATCACCCACAGGGTCACAACCAAGCAGGTTGCAAACTTGCAACTGCCGGTACCAACTGTGTTTGTCTTTGAAGAACTTTTTTCCATAACTGTGTTTGTCGGAATTTTCAGTTGTTTGATGATATTTGTAGGGTTTTCTTTTGAGAATGGCATCATGACTATGAAGAAGAAGTGACTTTGAATGTGAACTTTCATATTTCCATTTTTTTTTCAATTTTGGAGAAAAAAAAAAAAAAAAAAAACCGAAAAAAAACCGAAACCGAACCGAAAAAAACCGAAAAAAAATTGAACCGAACCGAAAAAAACCGAACCCAGCCCTAGTGTGGACCTAAGCATGAAGGTGGCCTTGGTCTTTGGGATTTAACTGCTTTGATTAGTTTTGGCTGGGATGTTTTACAATCTTCTTCTGTGTGGGGTTTATTTGCTCGTCAACGTTTCCCTCTTGCACCTTATAAAAAAACAAGATATCTATTTACGGTCTTTTATGTGGCATGGGTTGAAGCATGTTTTGCCTATTCTGAATAATAATAGTTGTTGGGTTATTGGGGATGGGAAGTCAGTTTCCTTTTGGTTTGACAAATGGTTGGATAACCTAATTAATTGGCTCTTTACTATCTTCGATCATTGTACCTACAGTTCTTCCTAGGGTTTCAAATGTTATTGAAGCTCAAAGTTGGTATTTGCCAGATTATTTTGTAAATTTATTTCCTTCAGTAGTGCAGCAGATTCTACATTTACCTTTGCCTTTAAATGTAGAGGATGACCAATTGATCTGGGAGCCTACATCTACTGGAAAATTTTCCTTTTCTTCTGACTACCATCTTATTCGACGAAAACATAGTGATTGTGCTTGGGCTAAGGTTATTTGGCGACATTTTATACCACCTCGGCTGTCTATTTTGGTTTGGTGGCTTCTTCATGACAAACTTCCTACTGAAGGTGCACTTCAGCGATGGGGTATTTCTTTGGCATCTATTTGTTGTTTATGTCATAATTATGAGGAATCTACTGTTCATCTTTTCTTCGGTTTTTGGATATCTATGTAGCTTTGGAGGTGGCTAGCATGTCAATTTGGTACCTCTTTGGCTTTTTCAGATTCTCTGGTTGTTTTTTGGGATGCCTACGTACGTAAGCCATTTTCCCAACAGTTGCACAATATCTGGATTTTTGTGGGTCTTTCTACTCTTTCAGCTATTTGGAAAGCTTGAAATAAGTTCATTTTTAGGGTCGCCCAATCTATTTTTGCCGTCTTTGCATGTCTATCAATTCTGGGATCTTTCATGGTGGAAAGTTTATTCTTGATTATTCTCAAGGTTTTGACACTTGTATCATTTCTTCTTTGGGGATCCAGCTTATCCTTCGCAAAGTGCCAACTATTCTTCCTATGCTTTGGTCTTCTCCTTGGCTTCCTTGGATTAAACTTAATACAGATGGTTTATCCAAAGGAAACCCGATCATGCAGCTTATGGATGAGTTTTCATGGATAGTTATGGTCAATTTCTTAGTGGCTTCTGCCAAGGGATTGGTCATCGCAACTCTTTCTTTGCAAAATTATCAGCAATTATTATTGATGTAAAGTTTGCATATCAGCAGGGATGGCATTGCCTTTGGTTGGAAAGTGACTCTTCTAGTGTTATTTCTGCTCTCCAATTGACTGATTTTGATTCTCTTTGGCCTCTTAGTACGCAATGGTCTATTTGTTTAGATCGCATTCGGAAGATGACTTTCTACGCCTCTCACATATATAGCGAATGAAATGTTGTTGCGGACAATTTTGCTAATATGGGCTTGTCTTCTCTAACTTTAGTATGGCATGATTCCCCTCCTTTGGCAGCTCATGCTGCTTTGTTTTTAGACTATGCTGACTTTCCTAGCTACCGTTTCTCAAATTAATCTGTATATCGGCATACATGTTTGACTCACTTTCTTGTTCTTTTTTTTTTCTTAACCTTGTGATGTTGCTTAATCTGTTTTGCAGGTTTAGAATTTTACATTTGGTTTTAGAGGGGTTAGGTTTAATCTCCCCCCTATTTTTCTTGTATCTTTATTGTTTGTGTTTCTAGAAGGGTAAGGTTTATGTCCCTCCTTCTTTTTCATGTACTTTTTATCCATTTTTCTTGTATTATGAGGGGTTAGGTTTATGTCCCCCCGTAACTAGGTGTAACTTTTTTTTCGTTATCAATAAAATTCCCTTCATACCGTTGAGCTTTCATCAAAAAAAAAAAAAAAAAAAAAAACTAATTATGTGTAGAAAGATGGTCAATGTTGGAACTTTTAGAACTTCAACATTCGGATCACCTGGCATTGGAATTCTTGATCTGCCAATGCATATGTACTTCAAAATAATTAATTAGAATACCTAGACACACACACACACACACACACATACACACACATAATATATAATGTCGGCTATTTTTAGCTATAACGTATGTAGTATTTACCAAGTCTTACTTTACCTGTTACACTATATTGTCTCACTTTACCATCTATGCTCTTCCTCTGTATCCCACTTTACCAATGCACTATATATTGTCTCACTTTACCACATGCGGTCTTCCTCCGTGTCCCACTTAACCCTTACACTTTATATTGTCTCCCTTTAACACCTACACTCATCATCGATGTCCCACTTTACTCTACTCCATCAAATAAGCTAAAAGGTCTGTTGATTGTGCTGATGTGGCATAGACAATTTAGTTCTTTCAACTACGTTGGTTGTGTGACATGTGACATGACATGTTAGTGGAACCCAAATTACAACAAAATTAGCCTTTTATGATACACATAAAACATTTGCGACACACAGTGAGCGTGCCATAAAAACTCATGCTGCAAAAGGCCTATTTCATTTATGGCATGCATTTGCACGCAATTAATTATGTTAATTTGCAATCACGACACTAAATAGTGCGTCATAAAAGGCAGTATGCTACCTATTTAAGGCATCAAATGCACACCATATTTTCTATTTAATTTTTTTTTAATATTAGTTAATTCTCTGCTTATCTAACTTTATATAAATATATGTTAAACCATCTGTCACATCCTGGCTTGGGGTCCACCACATCCCGGGCTCGACTCCACCACCGTAACACGATATTTTCCGCTTTGGGCCCCTACCACACCCTCATGATTTTGTTTCTAGGAACTCACACGAGAACTTCCCAGTGGGTCACCCATCATGGGATTGTTCTCGTGCGCTACTCACTTAACTTCAGAGTTCCGATGGAACCCGAAGCCAGTGAGCTCCCAAAAAGCCTCGTGCTAGGTAGGGATGAGAATATATATATAAGGATCACTCCCCTGGGCAATGTGGGATCTTACAATCCACCCCCCCTTAGGGGCCCGATGTCCTCGTCGGCACACCACGGCCAGGGTTAAGCTTTGATACCAAACTATCACATCCCCACCCGGGCCCCAACACATCCCAGGCTCGACTCCACTACCGTAGCACAATATTGTCCGTTTTGGGCCCCTACCACACCCTCACAGTTTTGTTTCTGGGAACTCACACGAGAACTTCCCAGCGGGTCACCCATTATGGGATTGCTCTCGTGCGCTACTCGCTTAACTTCGGAGTTTCGACGGAACCCGAAGCTAGTGAGCTCCCAAAAGGCCTCATGCTAGGTAGGGATGGGAATATACATATAAGGATCACTCCCCTAGGCGATGTGGGATCTTACACCATCTCCAAAAGAAATATCAAATTATAAGAGTCAAATAACAATTGATGACTGATGTGGCAATCTGAAGTTATTTGTCAAATTTTATATTTCTTCAACGAATTATGAAATGTTATTTTCTTATTTAAATAGAGCTTTAAATGATTGTAATTATAAAAAAATGTTGATACAAAAATTTTATTGGCTGAAATGTTATTGGAATAAGGAGCCCATCATTAAAATGAATTAAAAAAAAAATTAGACATTAATGTCAAATTTGACTCCTTATTACAAAGCCTTCAAATCTAGTCAATACATAACATTTCGATTGGATAGATTCTTGATGTCAAATATGCACAGTGGTATTCTATGTAATATTTTAATATCTTCTTTGGAGATACTCTTACACATTTTGTTTTAATAATAGAACAATTGCAATTATAAATTAACAAATCTCAAGTACAAACTTATATTAGGCAGCCTAGAAAGCCAGCAACTTGGCGTCATCCACCAGAGGTCGAACGCTAAAAAATCTTCACTGTACTCCGCTGTAAGTACTGTACCTGAATTGCTTTCCACGAAAAGGAATCCTCTTGAGATCCCTTCTACCAAGTCCTCATGGCCCACCAATCCGGATCCTTGAAATTTGATCAAACGGCTAAATTTATTATAATTTTTAATAGGACCTCCTGTTTTTAACCGTTGGATCAAATTTCAAATGACTGAATTAGTGGATCATGAGGATTTGATGGAAGGGATCTGGAGAGGATCCATTTCCGTTTTCCACAACCACACAGGTCAAGCCTATATCATATACAAATTGTAGCCTAAACACAATGCTATTCTAGATACAAAAAAAATAAAAAACATAATAATCAATTGTAAAATAAATTCTTGTTGAAAGTTGAAACTATAACTCTATTTCAAATTCAAAATCTCTATTTGAAATTTCAAAATATAGAAGTTTATAAGAATGTAACTGTAACCTAACTAAAATAATTTAAATTCATATTGTCAATATTGAAGGGAATGTCATCAAACTTCTCATTTGAATATTATTGTTTCAGCTTCTCAGCTTACTTCTCATCATGTAATGTTGCACGATAATTGAAACTATCTGTTTTTTAAGTCACCTTTTGAATAGTTTTTTTTTTTTTTTGTTGAACAAACGATATTATCTACATTAAGGGGGTGAAGGGTGGAGGATTTGGCTAAGCCTCACAATGGGCTAGCAATAATGTTGTTCGAATTTGTTTTTAGCAAGAATTGAATCTAAGACCTCTTATTTACAAGTAAAAAAAAAAAAATCATTAGACCGTAATACTAAGTGACAGTCACCCTTTAAATAGTTGAGTTTCTATGAATATATGTAAGCTCAATACAAACATAGTTTCTCTTTTTGGTGGCAAGACAAAACATATTTTAACATGGCAAAAACCTACAAAAAGGGAGAAATAAAAAGTAAAAGAATCGACCACATACAATTTGGGACTTGCGTTTCAAAAAAAAAAAAAAAAATTAAGGCTTGAAGATATCAAAGAATATGATTGGACTAGCTAACTTGTCTTTACTACAAGAAACGTGAGGCTTCCATAGGTTTAATGTTTTAGATTTAGGAAATTGTATTGGAGCTTGCATGTTCCTTGAAAAGACTTACATGCGTATGTGGAACGAATTCATCGTCATTATAACATCTCGATCTAATAATTCAATATCGTATATAAGTTTTTACTTACATAATATTGTATTAATAAATCAAGTTATCACTAAACCTATACTCCTTAGCTGATCGCTTTGCAAGCGAGCTATATATCTAGCTAGCTACTATAGGTATCTTCCACAATTCTTCGTTGTAAACCAGAAGATTCATGAATAACGAAACAACCTTGATGATGAACTCGTAGACAACAATCAAAACACATGATTTTAAAAACAGGAAATAATAAATTATGTGAAAATTTTCCGTCAACTGCCGTTATAATTTCATTATAATCACGGAATAAACGCGGGTAGAAATATTAAGCCTTGAGAGCTAGTTAACTTGTATAATTGCATTAACACAAGTTTAATTTTTTGATAAATAATAATAATCAGCTGTATATGTACGCAGACGTTCTTAAAGCTAAAGTTAAAGTCCAAAAGGACGCGTCACAACATAACATTTAGACGATCTGTGTTGCTTCGTTGTGTTATATCATTTCATTAATGGCCAATCCCCTTTGCTTCCCCTCCCAGCATGCCTAAATTTGTTCAGGTCAGCTCACTTGTGGCAGCACATTACCGCCGGGGCACCACCACGGTCAAAGGGGATCAAGGGTAGTTAATTGTCATGACTGCCCTTTGACTTGTATGGTTGTGGCATTTGCAGAATGAGATCACTTGGATGTGAAGAAGAATGCTAGAGAGCATAGGTTGATCTTAATTTTGAACCACACTAGCTTGGACAAGAAATTTTTGTATGTACATGTAACACAGTGGCATGTAGGTAACCAATTTAATTATACTTTAAGATATGCATTATATGACAAATAAATTCAATAATTACACTAGTTTAATTCTTAATAAACATCGATCATTTGTCACATTAATAAGTATGGTTCAAAATATGCAAGTACATTGCCTTATTCAAAATGAAGAGTGCCCAAATCAATGAAGTTTCTTTAAGAAGTAATACTAGTATATGCCCTAGGGCCTAGAATTCGACCGCACTCTTTGCATCACATAACCACGCTTTTACCACCTTTCCCGCGTCAACCCCTCTCTTGCTGGCTATTATAAACCCTAAGTATTCCACCCCACCATCTTCCCCACACCCCCCCCCCCTCTCTCTCTCTCTCTCTCTCTCTCTCTCTCTCTCTCTCTCTCTCTCTCTCAGCCACACAACCGCAAACACACAAACACAAAGAAGAGACAAAGCCATGGAGGTCATCAAGATTATATTGATCATAGCAACAACCATGGCTTTGTCTATCACTCTCATGACCGTGAAAAGGGTCAGTCATGGAGTAGAAGAAGGAAAAACCCCTTTCACCGACTCATGGAAAGAACAACAGGAGGTCGATGAAAACACCTTGCTACTGCCTTCGAAGAGGGTGAGTCGTTTCCTAGCTGAAAAGGATCTGGTTGACAGAAACCCTAGAGCAGCTGACCATTGCCACAAAGACAATGAGGTATGTGCCTACACACCACCGGGCTACAAGAACTCGACGTGTTGCAACAACAAGTGCCTGGACTTGTCCGAGGACAAGCACAACTGTGGTGCATGCAAGAAGAAGTGCAAGTACACTGAATCGTGTTGTAGGGGGGGTTGCGTGGACACAAATTATGACAAGAGGCATTGTGGCCAATGCAACAGTCCCTGCAAGTTGGGGCAGTTCTGTGTGTATGGTCTTTGCAATTATGCGTGATTAAGGTGATCCATAATTTGATTTGATTATGCAATAAAAACCACAATAAAAAAAAAATTGGTGTTTCTCAATTAATTATATATAATTATACAGTCTTTGAGTGTTTTCTCTGAATGTAATGATCGATGTTATAACTTTATTTAAGAATTTTAAAATGTGATGAGCTTGGAATTAATCAATAGCATTTATATTATATACTTCTACATTTTTTGTTAGAGAGCTGATGTATTGCTAATTACAGTCTACATATGGAGACACTGTAAAGTTTGCTTCTTGAATATAATATGGGATTCCTTTGGTGTCCATGGTTTTGTTAATTCCTTTCTATGCAACATTTTCCTTTGTTAATTAATAGGTGACTTAATTTTATTTTTTACATGTATAATTTCAAAACTAATTTACCCCGCCTCCATCCCTAACCAATGTCTTAAAACTGAGGCACCTTTCATTTGAATCTCCTTGTTTCTCTATTAGCTTTTGAGGTTTTCGTGTTCTGTGTTCATTTTTCATTGTCTTAATGCCGCTTTTATTAAGAAAAAAAAAATTCAACTAAGAAGGGAGACCCAAATAGGGAGCAAATCTTTTTAACCCCATCAATCCCAAAATAATTGTGCTCCTCCCAAAATACTTATGCTCCTAAATCCCAAAATTTAAGTTTTTAGAATTGGTGGTTTAAATTGACAAACTAGTGTCAAAACTACATCCATTTTTTATAACAGCCAACTTACTTAACCAATCTTTGGAGTGGCAAAGACTCTATTATCTTTGAAACAATCAACATTTTTTAAATATTTATGTAAAGACATCACGGTAAGCAGCATATATATACAAAAGATGCATGAATTTGGATCAGAAGCAAGAATTTAGAAAGTGCCGCCCAGTCAAAAGTCTCCCTCTATACATGCGCTAATCTTTATCAGCCCATTTGTTTGGTAAGTGATAACTTGATAAGCAAACAAAACAAGCAAGATCCAGCTTTAATATCAGGTGGTGTGCATATATAATACGTACGTACAGTCATTGGATCAAAGGGCCATAACATTTTCCCAGAAACGTCGCTTATAAGGCACATGGCTTTTCTTACTCCAAAAATGGTGCTCGTGCCAAACTGGACAAGTATAGTTCACGTCTGAAGAATTTCTCAGATTTGAAATTTGGGAATATTAAAATATATATACGCGGGAATTCTGAATTTTAGGGTTGAAATTCAATTTTCAAACTCTTGAGAAATTTATCCTAAAATTAATCACATATAATTATATCTTCTCCACGACAAGAAAAAAGTTATATATTTTCTGTACAAGACCGGGATATCCAGCTAATGGAGGATTGGAAGCATAATGTGAATCCGAATGGTTATTTAATATCCTAGCATTTCAAATTGATTATGAATTTACCTATATGATAAGGGGAAAAACAATATGGATACGATGTGAGTTCAATATGTTGAAAATTGGGCACAAGCTGCATACAGTAACTGAATAACATGACACATCAATGGATGGATACAAACACAAAAAATGCTCATGAACTAGGCATTCCCATCCAAACAAACGACTCAATTATAACTATCCAATGTTTGAATGACGAAAATAAACTTGGAATTTGAAATCAAAGTCGGCATGCTAGCTAGAAACAGTAATTAAACATACATGTTTCTTTCTTATTAGAGGAATAGAATATTCAACCAAGTATTAAACGAGTTCAACTATCTGCTGCACTTATATTGTGAGTGGTCACCGTGTCCTCTTTCATTGTTTGATACGTGTTAATAAACTTAACACTTCTTAACTTTGTTGTCATATAAACTTAACATGTATTATCAATGATAGAGGCTACAAAAAAGTCACACACGAAATAAATGCAAAAGATTTGATCTCATATTAAACAAACCCAAAAAGTATGAACTTTTTCAGCTATATATATATAGCTAGGGAGCTCGTTCCTAATTCAAATAGATAACAAATTGGAATGGGACATGAAAGTAGTGAGAAAATACATATTTTATAAGTGAGGTGCGAACTGTGGTCGAAGCACATATATGTGTGTTCATCATCTATAGGTCCTTGACAAATGTTCCAGATGTGTAGCACTCATCAATTGTTAACTAAAATTATAAAGAATGTGTGGGATGCTCGAGCAACAAAAGGCACTCAAATACAATATTTGATAAGAGGGGGGTACGTGTCTGTTTGAAAGTACAAGAAATAGCTACACTCTGGCCATGTGAATAAAATCCCTATTTTCCTCCAATATTATAGGACGCACTTATATATGATGCATCTTACTCCATGATATTCCTGATCACCAAAACTTCATGGCATGCACTACATATGCCAAAAGTCCCCTCTAATACTTTTATAATAATGTTCTAATTAATCATCACGTACGACTTTCAGCGGGATATTTAGACCCTTAAAGTTTCAACAACGTAAAACTAGGAAGCGTCAGTCTTGAGCTGCTAAGCCGATATATAGGAATGACAATTTAAAGGACATCGAACTCTATAATCGAATTCGTTTGAGCTGCAAAGCTAAGATAAACAGATGTGTTTATTTGTCTGCTATATATGAGGTTGATGTAGAGATATTTGCCATCTATGGATTGTCTTGAACACGAAGGTAACTAGGGTGTGTATTATATATGGAGTTTGATAAATTTTTACAGAGTTATGAAGACATGAATTTTAAGAGAGTTTACTTGACTTCAATAGAATTCACGTGGATTTGATTGAACAGTTATAACTTTTCAAATTTCGATATTTGATTTATGATCATTTCGGTTCTTTACAGAAATTATTTTTCAAAAGTTCTCGTCCGTTTACAAAACTCACTGTTCAATAATTCTCATCCTTGTACAAGTAAGGAAATATGTTTTGGTTTTGTTATAGGGAATTGTTATTAGCACTGTTAAAATCTCATTTGGCACTCTAAACTTTCTATAATTATAAAGAAAAATACACTTGTGTGGAGTGTATAATAAGATTTTTGGAATGCTAATAACAGTTCCCTTGTAATAAGTTTATTAAAAGTTAGATATAAACCTGAACGCAGACGCATTTATTAGGAACATTTTGATTTTTCAAAGTAAGCCGAATTTTGTCTAAATAATTGCAAGTCCATTTTTTGGGTTTATATCAAATTATTTATATAAATTGTTGTAGGATGTGTTTAAATTTGTAGAATTGTGTGATAAGAAATTAAATCACATTATCTTACTACAATATACTAATTATAATAAGTTGGTATCAAACTCATCATTTACAAGAGTCAAACATGAAATCTCATACTTACAAATACTTACGAGTGAAGAAAAATATTTCTAAATTGTAGAACTAAATGAACAAAAAAATTCAATGAATATTTAGTTGAATTGGCCTGTTATCGTGCATGGATCTATAGTATTGCATGGGCCAATGGAGCCTATGAGTCTATATGCCACCAGCATTATTTTGGAGGATTCTTGTATTAGGCATCCAGTAAGAGGTCATTGCTTTGCCGTTAAGAACATGTATTGTATCCAACACAACTAAAAATTTCTATGAAAAAAAAAAATTTTCTTCAAATTAACCTCCTGCTTTTTGCTTGGAATTGCATACAATTTTAAGAATTTGAATTTAACTGACATACAAGAAAAGTAAAAATTCAAACATAAAAAAGAATTACTATGCATAGTTGCATAGGCCAAATGCACAAAACCCTCCATCTTTGCACCTATTGTTGCAGCCACCACAATGCCTTCTATGGAAAGATGGGTTCACACATTTCCCTTTGCAGCATATCTCATTATACTTGCACTTCTTCCCACACCTCCCACAGTTAGCTCGGTCAGTAAACACATTAACACACTTCTTCTTGCAACAATAAGGCCCAGGGCTTCCCTTAGCATGACATATCCTGGGGAACTTGTTACAAGTCAATCGCACCCGGTGTTTTTGCAAGAGAAAGCAGTCGTTTCCATGTAACATATTCGAAGATTCTGATTCAGTTTTGTTTACCAGAGAGTTCGAAAACTCATCATTGGTTGCAACTTCGTAGTATTGTTGGGATTGTACTTCATTGGATTCAACGCTTAGAACATGGGACAAGAGGAGGATTTATACGAAGAAACAATGTATATACAACTTCATCGTGAAAGAAATAATGTGAGAGGCTTGCTAGAGAGAGGTTTAATATGTTGGAAACTAGAGAGGGAATGTTGGCTTAGATGAGAGGGAATGCTTGATTAAGGGTGACAATGGAGGTGGGTTTTTATAGTAAACCTAACATGCAGACTTTTCCTCTTGATTCTTGACCTTAGTGGAGTGGTCTACATATAACAATAAACAACTAAATGTGGAGCTAAAGTTAGGTCGTCATTCATCCGAATGTCAAACAATTGGAAGGAAGAGCGCAGCGGAGAGAAGCTGACTTTCATGGGGTGGAAAAAAAATGCAACTAAAATATATATAGAAGATAGGGTATCCATTCTTGTGTTAGAGCCTTTGATTTTGAATCTCGCATCTCTGACTATTTGTTTGTACTATAGAAAAAATTATATGGGAACTCAAACATTACCAAACACCCTTAACTGTTAGAGATAAAACGAATTCAAACATAATTAACATCGTACATGTATAAATAAATGAAACACTATCACATTATCTGAATTTAAAATATGCACTAAAAGTTTTCTTTTAGTACATGGGATTCACATGAACTGTGAAGCTCCTTATTAAGTTGAGATAACACTTTTTCGTACAAACAATTTCTGGTCATAATTCTTCAAAAATATAATAGCCACTACATGTTCTACTTCCAGAATTGTACACAACTGTAGACAATCTGCATTTTCCGCGCCCAATGACACTTTGCATATCTTTTCTCTACAATCGGAATCCCTTCTGCTTAATCTGCCCCCACCAACTCATCCACTATATATGCGGGCTACTCTGATGTCATGAAAAGTTGATTTGGTTTCATGGAAATAATGCCACATGCTACATCCTTAACACAAACATA